GTCTTCTTCTCCACCACACATTGACCCCCTACGTGCTACAAATGAAATGGTAGAGGTGACCCAAAATCCTGGGAAGCTCAAGAAAAGACAATGGACGAGGAGAAGGAAGTGTTCAGTGGAGGGTCGCCCTTGCCAAAATAAATGTCCCATACAAATGGAGGGTTGTTTTTGCCCAGAGGGAAGTGGAGCCTCCGGATGGTCATGTGGACGGCAGCCACCCCTGGGGCACATGGAGGGCACGTGAGACGAGTTCCTTGGGAGGAAAAATTATTTGGAACAATGGAACCAGTTATAGAGAACAAGGAGAGAACTGCACAGACAAGAAACCATCGCCCAGAGATGACGGGGAGGGTGGAGGCTCCTCATCCTCATTGTATAAACAAGACGCTCCACAAAGTGTGATCATAATTGCTACAAGTATTATCTGCAGACAATAATGGGGGAGATTAATGTTGTGTCACGTCTCATCTATTCCATACGTGACTCCCGGAGAGGTACCGGGAACAGCAAACAGAGTTTAGTTCCAGCCAAAACAGAAGGAGCTTCTGCCATGTTTTATGGCCATCATGCAAAATTGGGTCGGGAGTGGTCTTGGTCCATAGATAGCATAGTACTGATGGGGGGGTCATAATAATCCGGCCACTCAGTGTATAGTACAGTAGATTTAGGAACTGAAGCACCACACCAATGAAAACAGTCCATATATAAAACTTTATTCCATTAGGGTCAGGGGGACATTCAAGTAGAGTTTCTGATGCATTTTTAGGGTCCAGAACACACCACCTTCACTCAACTCAAACACCTTCAGGTGTCACTATTGGCCATTCCAGTGTTGGTGGCCACCATCTTTGTGGCAAGAAGAGACAAAGATCCTTTACAATACGGACACAAAAAAAAAGTCATACAAGCCTGACCTAACCTTTCCCAGGTCCATCCAAAAATGGAAAAAAAAGTTTAGGCTACGATGTGACAGTGAAAGGAGAAGCAGCACAGGGATGATCTCATCTCTCACGTCACGGGAGATAAAAACATTTGGACCGGCGATCAGATCAGTTTTTGGTGAATTATTTTAAAGTCCAGCTTTGTGGACCCGTCGATGGTGCAAAGTTTGCTAGAAGCACCGCAGTGTGTAAAGGGTTAATTGTACGTTTTAGTTCCTTCGTGCCGTCACCCCCCCCCCTCCTCCAACACCTCGTATATGATACACGTCTGTCTCATTCTGTCAATGAAACACAGCCCGGGGCTTTCACACAATTCAACAATTATGATGATGATGGAAAATTCATCAAATAGTTTTACGAATTCAAATGCTGAAAATACGAAAAGGTGAGATCAGCACGTCGGAAACATTTCCCTTCGAGGCTTTAAATAGTTACAGAGTATTTGAGGTTGAATAAAGACACAGGTCCATCAAGTTCAACTTTTGTGTATATGTGAGATTCTTGGTGAAGGAGGGTAATGGGGAGAACAATTCCATTTATCATTAGGTCAGAAAAGGGAAAATAAAAAGTAAAAACAAACAAAAAACACTTGTTTCATTAGAGGGGTCGTTCCGTAAATTAATGTCCTCTGTACCTGTATATGACCATTCATGGGGCCGGTGTGGACACTAATGACCTCTGGTGGCTGTAATGAGGTATTACCGCTTTTGGATAGAAAAAAAAATAAAAAATGGAAAATTGGGAGTCTTTAGTCTTTTTGGGAGTCAAAAATAAAAAATCATATTTTGGCAAAATTTTGCCATATTGGTGAAATGCATTGGAGTTGTTACAGGGTGCTTTTTTAAGGGTGCAATGGGTTGAAAATGGCTCTTTATGGTTTTAGGAGTTCCTTTAAACTATCTTGGATCTGTTCTCGTGGCCATTAGTGATGGACCGAACAGGTCCGAGTTCGGTTCGAATTCGAACTTTAGAACATCCAAAAAGTTCGAATTCGAACTTAATGCAAGTCTATAGGGGTAGAACTTTCAAAAACAATTGTCCCCTTTAAAAGGAGAACTATGAGGTTAAGTATTTTCCCCATAGTTCTCCTTAGGGTAACGGGAGGACACAAACTAGCGTCCTCCCGTCACCCTAGGCTCAGTATACCGCGAGCTGTAGCTCGCGGTATACTGAGACGCCACAGTATACCGCGAGCAGCTGCTCGTGGTATACTGAGACGCCGCAGCTGAAGCGGATCCCGACAATTGTGCCGGGATCCGCCCAGCTGCGTGACTGACAGCTGGCTCTGCCTATCTAAAGGCAGAGCCAGCTGTACCCGCCCCCTCCCCCGTCCGTTCCGCCAGTCAGCGCTGGAGGATCGGAGCGGGGGGGGGGGAAACGCCGGTATGTGTTCCCTCACCTCCGGATCTACTGAGCCGACCTGTGACAGTCTCATTGTCACAGGTCGGCTAGAACTATGAGGTGAGTGAAAA